TATACTACTTTCAAAATACAGAGGACTTTCCAAAACTTAACCATATAGTTGATTTAAAAATTCCACAAAATAATTAAAGATACTGGTCAAAATGTTTGCTCATAATGCAAATCAGATTAGAAATAAACAACAAAAAGATTTTTTTTAATCCCAAAATTTTAAAAGAGGGAATCAAAGCTATAATTATAGGCCATTTAGAAACAAAAACAGCAAGTGGATTTGCATTTATTTCAAACCCATGGGATACAGCCAAAAGTGTACTTAGGAAATATTTTAGACATAAATGCATTTATTAGGTGATGAAAGTTTGAAAATGAATAAGCAAAGGATTCAACTCAAGAAGCTGAAAAAAGGAAAACAAAATAAACAGAGTAGAAAAGAAGAAAACACATATATTTTCCATATAAAATGAAGCCAAACACAATAGAAATGGTAATACTACTCTAAAATTTGTTCTTTGAAATAATCAGTAAAGTATTTAAAAACAGTTGGCAAGTTATATCAAGAAATAAAAGATTCCAAGTATGGGGACTTGTACCTGTAATCTCAGCTACTCTGGAGACTGGGGTGGGAGGATAGTTTGAGACCAGGAGTTCCAAGGCAGCAGCTCTGTTTCTCTGCAGTTACGGCTTCTGGCGGGCAGCCCTCCTCCGATACTCTGCTCTCAGTGGGATCCAAAAATGCTAATTCCTCCTTTTCCCTTCAGTGCTAGATGTGGAAAGAAACTTCCTGCTGTCACTGGTTGCCTCCATACCATTGTTTTCCTAACCCTGCCCTTATCTCCCTAAATTGTCCCCCCGATTAAGGACTATTTAAACCACCTGATCAAATCTCTTCTTTGATGGGACCTTTACAACTTACATACATAAAAATTTAATATATGTCTGATAGCATTACAAATTTTTGGTGAAGGACTGGATTATTCAATAAATGTGCTCTGCTGGGATAAGTAATTTTCTATATAGAAATAATAAAATTAGATCTAGACCTCATTCTGCACACAAAAGTTAATTCTAGATGGATTAAATCCCTGAGTGAGAAAAAAAAAACTTTTAAATTTAAAAATAGCATATTTATGAAACCAGAATGGGGGAATATTTTTTTCAAGAAGACACAAAAACCCTAAACACAAAGGAAAAGGATGATAAATTTGAATATGTTAAAGGAAATTTTTTGTATAGATATCAAAAAACACCATTCATAGTCATGTCACAGACTGGGAGAAGATATATGAAACATATACAACTGACAAAGATTTGTATCTAAAATATACAAAGAACGGAAAACCAAGAAGAAAAAGACAAACAAAAATTGGCAAAGGATGCAATGAAGCAATTCACAGGAAGAATATCCTAATGGTGGGAAGTCATATGGAATGATGGCCAGCTCATTTGCAGTCAAATAAATTTTAAAAACTCAAACTTCAGCAAGGTAGCATTTCTTAAATATCAGCTTGGCATTTATTCGAATAAGAGCTAATGTTTCAAGAAAATGAGGAGAGTGGAACTCTCATAGTGTGTTGGTGGGAGTACAATTGGCCCAACCTCTTTGAAGAGGAGTTTGACAATATCCAGTAATGTTGAAGATTTGCATGCCATCCGACCTCATGATTCCTCTTCTTGCTATATAGTCTGGATGAAACTTTTGCACAATGCCCATAAGCATACATGTACAGGTATATCACAGCTGTATTGATTATAATAGAGAAAAATGGAAAACAACCCAAATAAAGCATTAAGAATGAATTATATCATATAATGTATTTTACTACATGGCAATTAAAATAAATTACATGAGAGCTATATGTGGCAAAATGGATAATCATATGAAAAGAACATTGAGCAAAAAACCCCTCAAGCTGCCAAAACAATGGAAACTATTAGAGATGTATTTGAAATCTAGATTCAATACTTACATTATGCCCATGTTCCGGGTTTACTCATAACAGTTGTTGAGTAGTTTAGTTGAATTCAAAATATGTTGCCTATTCTGGGTATATACTCCTTCAAAACCAGAAAACCGAGGAGTAAATATTAGAATGTGCTACATTTAAATTTTTATTAAAATTTTTAATAAAGTCATTTTCACTATCTATTGATTCTTCCTTGGTTAGATTATTTAAAAATTATTTTCATTTTTAAATATTTAAGTATTTATTTGTTATTATTTGTATAAATTTAAAGGGTACAAGGGCAATTTTGTAACATGGATATATTGTGTAGTGGTGAAGTCTGGGCTTTTAGTGCAACCACCACCCAAATAATGTACATTGCACCCATTAAGTAATTATTCATCCTTTGCCCTGCTCTCATCTTCCCACCCTTCTGAGTCCTCAGTGACTATTATTCCACACTCTATGTCCATGTGTACACATTATTTAGCTTCCAGTTAGTTCCATCCATGTTTCTGCAAAAGACATGGTTCCATTTTCTATGTCTCAATAGTATTCCATTCTCTCTCTCGCTCTCTCTCTGTCTATCTCTGTCTCATACATTTTCTTTATCCAGTCCTCTGTTGATGGACACTTAGGTTGATTCCATATTTTTCCTGTTGTGAATAGTGCTTTGATAAACAACTGAGTGCAAGTATCTTTTTGATGTAATGATTTCTTTTCCTTTGGGTAGACACCCAGCAGTGAGATTGCTGGATTGAATGTTCATTCTATTTTTAGTTCTTTTGAGAAATCTCCATACTGTTTTCCACAAAGGTTGTACTAGTTTACATTCCCAAGAATAATGCATGTGTTCCATTTTCTCCCCATCCTCACCTACATCTGTTATTATTTGTCTTTTTAATAATAGCCATTCTGACTAGTGTAAGATGACATCTCATTGAGGTTTAAATTTGTATTTCTCTGATGATCAGTGGTGCTGAGCGTTTTTTTCATATGCCTGTTGGCCATTTCTATGTCTTTTTTTAGAAGCATGTCTCTTCATGTGCTTTTCCCACTTTTAATGGGTTTGTTTTGTTGTTGCTGTTATTGTTGAGTTGTTTGAGTTTATTCTAAATTCCGGATATCAGTTCCCTGTCGGATTCATAGTTTACAAATATACCACCTCATTCTGTAGGTTGTTCATTTTTAAAATACTTTATTTCTTCATTGCAGTTTTGGATTCACTGCAAAGTTAAGAGGAAGGTACAGAAATATCCCACATATTCTCCGCCCTGACACATGAACAGCCTCTCTGAGGTAGATTCTTTTTAGTATGACTTAAAATGTAAAGAAAATTAAGAAGACTCCATTGGCCCAGATAGTAATTAGTGAAGACTATTTTTCCTGGCAGACTGATGGCATCACTGTCACTGTGTTTCCAAATGCAGACTTCAGAGCCATATAAGAGACTTCCTTCCTTTTCACTCTCTTCATTAAAATCTAATTGCCTCTATGTTTTAAACATCTCCAGATTCCTCCATTCCCACATAGCCTTAATTCAGACAATTTCATCATTTTTAAAATTTGAACCACTGCAATAACTTACACGTCTTCTTTTATTTATTTATTTATTTTTTTTGAGATGGAGTCTCACTCTGTCACCTAGGCTGGAGTGCAGTAGTGCGGTCTCTGCTCACTGTAACATCCACCGCCTGGGTTCAAGCAATTCTCCTTGCCTTAGCCTCCCAAGTAGCTGGGATTACAGGTGCCTGTTACCATGCCCTAATTTTTGTATTTTTTACCATGTTGGCCAGGCTGGTCTTGAACTCCTGACCTCAAGTGGTCCACCTATCGTGGCCTCTCAAAGTATAGGGATTACAGGTGTGAGTCACCACCCCTGGCCTAATTTAAATGTTTTCTTGTCTCTAGTCTCAACCCCCTTCAGCTCATTTTCTATACTGTTAACAAAGTAATCTTTCCAATACCCCAAATGGTACCATATCTTAGCACCGACTAACCCTCTAGTATCTTTCCACTCATTTTAAAATCCAAGCATCTTAGCATAGCAGACAAATATCTTCAGGATGAGAGTTTATCCCACATCTCCAGTTTCATATACTGGTCTACCCTTTTCCACTCCCCCACTTCCAAACTTTCTGAACTACTGTTTTATATCTCTTAGTCTGTCTATAGTGCCATGATCTTTGGAAATTTAACTTGTTAACTGCTTCCGAGAAGTGTTTCCTTGCACTCCCAAGTAAAGTTCCCACCTCTGTACTTCCTCTCCATCATACAAGCCACTGCTGTCACATCATTCTTTTGTTATAATTATTGGTTTGCATGTCTGTCTCTTCTTGTTTCAACTGTATTGTTGAATTCTCTAGTAAATTCTCAAAATGTATGGTGACTCAAAATGATTGCTCGATGTAGATAATCATATTATTTGTAAGTAAATAGGTATTTTTCTCTTCCCCTTAATCCTATTTCTTTTCCTTTTAATATGGCATTTCCCACCTCTTTCTATCCTAAAATAGTCGTGTTTTTCTGCTAATTGCTGCCAAATTGCTCTAGGCTTTTGTTTTATAACTTTGACTGAGTTAATGAATTCCTTTTTATTCTTATTTGCTAAGAGCCTTACAAAATTAATATATGTATAATTTTGTGTGTCTGTTAAGAAATATCTCTTTATTAAACAAAGACATAAACTAAAAGTTTCCAACTTCCTGTATATGTTGCAAGCTTTAAATAAAGGTTCTTAGATACGAAGTATGGCCTACACAGCTCAAAATGAATTCAGTGACATAATATTATGCTAAAGTTGCACTTATTTTGAATGTCTAGAATTTTTTGTTAATGGTTATAAAAATACCATCAACCTAGACATTTTTATTTTGCTAAGATAGAACAGAATTACAAATAGAATTATTAACAGTCCGCACACTCTAAACATTTAAACATCAATGGTTTCTGGAAGATGCTGTTATCCTTCACAGTTTGGAGAAAGTTCAGATGGCTTCCATGAAGCCAAATTTTCTTCCACCCACAAGATTGCCTTTTCAGAAGTCTTGCTGGATGTTTTCTTTGTTTGCCTCTCCATATTGCTACTGAATTTGATGGTTTTCATTTTCTAGTTGAACAATAGTCCCGTAGTCTGTTCAGTCTTGTAATTCTTACGGATGAGGGATATCCAATTTGATTCGATTTCTCTTGATTTAGTTTCAGCTGAGAGTTGCATGTTCTTTTGCTGCCAGTTTAAATCTTGAATATGTTTTCTTAACTTCTGAAGCTCTTCTTTCTCTGTGTGTTCAATCACATGAACTAGATTTTCATCATATACCTTCCAGGCATTACATCCACGCTGTGACATTAGTTTCAGATTCTCAATTAAAGTTGCTTGATGCTCTAGCTGGGCCATATAATTGTTTACACATTCTTGCCATGCAGCAGAGTCAATTTTTTGACTGGAGGAAGGGGCTGGAAGCTCAGATCGTTTCATCTGGAGCAATTCAATTGGCTGTCGAGGGACCAGTCTTTCAAATCCATTTTTCATGATGTCTTCAAAAGCAGAATAATCCAAGGCTCTTTGGTAGCTCAGGTAGTTCTTTAGCAGTTTGCTGTCTGTGAGTGTCCTGTCCACAAGCACCATACACCAGGGGCTTCATAACCTTGATCAGAGTACAGCAGCACATCCGCTATAACCTCTCTGGCCGCCAAACCCATGACCGCTATTCTGGAAACCTTAGGTTTCTATGCATTATTTTGATACACTATTAATACAGGTAGCTAATTCTTTATTTTTGATATTCACATCTATGATAACAAGTTAAATAGGCCTGTGATTTTCTTCAAGTGCTCTTGCTTGGTTTTGAGATAATATTTATTGCCTTATAAATCACATTACCTTATATATGATATATGTATATAAGTTTCTCTCTTGTCACCTAGACTGGAGTGTGGTGGCACGATCTTCGCTCACTGCAGCCTCCGCCTCCTAGGTTCAGGTGATTCTCCTGCTTCAGCCGCCTGAGTAGCTGGGGTTACAGGTACCTGCCTCCACACCTGGCTAATTTTTTTGTGTTTTTAGTAGAGATGGAGATGTCACCATGTTGGCCAGTCTGGTCTTGAACTCCTGACCTCATTCACCTGCCTTGGTCTCTCCAAGTGCTATGAGTTGTGATTACAGGTGTGAGCCACTGCACCTGCCATATATATATATATACACACACACACACACACACAGCCCCATATTTATTTATATGTACATCAAATATATATATACACATATGTGTGTGTGTGTGTATATGTATATGTATATATATGTATATATATATATATATATATATATATATATATATATATGATGATGTTTCTTCTTACCTCTTCAAGTTTGTTATATTGCTTTTTTGCCAACTTCTTGTGAACACTGCGTTGGTTGTTTTCTATCTTTACCTTGTCCAGTCAATGTGTTTATATCAACATATTACTCTAAATATTATGCTTACAAAATTTCAACAATGAATATTTATATTGTCATCAGCTTGTATTTAGTAATTTCTTCTATTTTATTTTTAATAATAGTTAAATTTATTAGTATTTTAATTTCTAAATATACAAGATGTTTTAATTATATGTCTGTTGTTTATTTCTAATTTTATTACATTATGATCAGAGAACATAGTTTATATAGTATTCAATTTCTAAGAATTTTTTGACATTTCCTTATGGCCAGTAGATAGCCAATATTTATAAATATTTTTATGTCCTCAAAAGGAATATGCATTTTTTGTTTCTTAGATTAACAATTCTATATGTCATATGTATTTTGAGCTAATAATTATATTTTTTAGATCTGTATTATAGTTTTTTGATATGCTTGATCTATGGATCTTGGAAAAAGATACATTGATTTTTCTCATTACAATTGTTGATTTATATATTTTGCTCTGCAGTTCTTTTTAAAAATTAATCATTATTTAACTTTTATTTTCTGTTTGGGGTACACGTGAAGGTTTGTTACACAGGTAAACTTGTGTCACGGGAGCTTGTTGTACAGATTATTTCATTACACAGATATTAAGCCTGGTACACAATAGTTATCTTTTCTGCTCCTCTCCGTTCTCCCTCAAGCAGACCCTAGTGTGCCCTGCAGTTCCATTATTGCTGCTTTACACATGTAGAGACTCTATTGTTCAATTCGTATAAGCTCATCATGGTTATCTTCTTGCTCTATTGCTTCTTATCAGTAAATACTATCTCTCTGTTCCTATTAACGTTTTCTGTTTTAACTATACTTTGTGAGATATGATAATTGCTATATGAGTTTAATTTTAGTTAATATTTGTCTAGTACATTTTTCACAACCTTTTATTTTCAAGCTTTCTGTATCCTTTTGTTAATCAATATGTCTTTATGAATAAAATATTGGTAAACCTTCTTTTTTTTTTTTTTACAAAGAGCCCAGCAGTGTGGGGGTACATGGAAGGTTTTTCTTAAGGTTTTGATAATATTTCCAGACTAATTCTTTTTTTTTTTTTGTAAGAAAAAGAATAAAGAAGAGGAAGAAAGAGAAAGAGGAAGAGGGAGAGAGGATGGGGGTATTGCTTTATTGCCTGGGGTAATCTAAATATGGGTATGCCTATAATTGTCCTTAATAATGGAGATATAAAAGAAAATGAGGGAAGAGAATAACAAACAAGGAGCCAACCAACATTTCATTTAAACTTCTAAGTTGATATGATGTGGTACTGATCTACGTATTCCTGTATTGGGTGTGTATATATTTAGGACCTTTAGCTCTGCTTGTTGTTGCATTGATCCTTTTATCATTATATAATGTCCTTCTTTGCTTCTTTTGATCTGTGTTGCTTAATTGTAACTTCTACTTTTTATTTATTTATTTTAGCTCTCTGTTTGGTTGGTAAATCCTTCTCCATCCCTTGTTTTGAGTCTTTGTGTATCCTTGAATGTGAGATGGGTCTGAATGCAGCATACTGATGGGTTTTAGTTTTTTATTCAAATTGCCTGTCTGTCTTTGGATTGGGGGATTTAGTCAATTTAAATTTAGAATTAATAATAATATATGTGAGTTTAATACTGCCACTTAATATTAGCTGGCTATTTTGCCCATTAGTTGATGTAAATTCTTCTTTATAATGATGCTCTTTTTGGTATTTTTTTAGAAAGGCTGATACTGTTTGTTCCTTTCTATGTGTAGTGGTTCTTTCTGAAGCTCTTGTAAAGCAGGCCTGGTGGTGATGAAATCTCTGAGTGCTTGCTTATTCACAAAAAACTTTATTTTTCCTTCACTTGTGAAGCTTAGTTTGGCTGGATGTGAAATTCTGGGTTGAAAGTTCTTTTCTTTAAGGATATTGAATATTGGTCCCCACTCTCTTCTGGCTTGTAGGGTATCTGCTGTAAATCTGATAGGCTTCCCTTTGTGGGTAACCTGACCTTTCTCTCTGGCTGCCCTTAGTATTTTCTCCTTCATTTCAACCCTGGTGAATCTGACGATTATGTGCCTTGGAGTTGCTCTTTTCGAGGAATGTCTCTGTGGTGTTCTCTGTATTACCTGGAGTTGAATATTATCCTGTCCTACTAGGTTGGGAAAATTTTCCTGAATAATGTCCTGAAGCGTATTTTCCAGCTTGGATTCATTCTCTTCGTCACATTCAGGTACACCTATCAAGCATAGATTAGGTCTTTTCACATAGTCCCATATTTCTTGGAGACTTTGCTCCTTCCTTTTTATCCTTTTTTCTCTAATCTTGTCTTCTTGTTTTATTTCATTGAGTTGGTCTTCGACCTCTGATATCCTTTCTTCTGCTTAATCAATTCGGCTGTTAAAACTTGTGCATACTTCACGAAGTTCTCGTATTGTGTTTTTCAGCTCCATCAATTCACTTATATTCCTCTCTAAATTGTGTATTCTTGTTAACATTTTGTCAAATCTTTTTTCAAAGTTCTTAGTTTCTTTGGATTGGTTTAAAACAAGTTCTTTTAATTCACAGAAGTTTCTCATTATCCACATTTTGAAGCCTGCATCTGTAATTGGAACACAGTCGTTCTCCATCAAGCCTTGTTTCGTTGCTGATGAGGAACCGTGATCCCCTGCTGAGGGAGAGGCGTTCTGATCTTGGGTATTCTCAGCCTTTTTTGGCTGTTTTCTTCCCTTCGTTATAAATTTATCCATGTGTGGTCTTTGTATTTACCGTCTTTGTAATTGGTTTTCTGAGTGGATGTCCGACTTATTGATTCTCAGCGCCGAAATCTGAGCAACCCACTGCGCCGACTAAATCAGCGGCGTTAAGATTGATGGTGCTTTTCTGACACTGCACCAAGAACCGATGCTCCAAGGCGCCAGCAAAACCTCCTCGCCAGTCACAAGAGTCGCGCTGGCGACCCGTGGGGCTCCTCCGCTGGGAATCTCCTGGTGCGTGAGCAACAAGAATTCATGTGAAGGTATGGAGTCCTCTCGTTCTTTGCGCTTTCACTGGGAGCTACAATCCCGAGCTGCTAGTGATCAGCCATCTTAGGTAAACCTTCTTTATTTAAAAATTTAGGCCAAGAATTTCTGTCTTTTAATTAGTGAATTTAATGAACTTATATTAATAGATGGATTAAATAATTATTTTAATTGCTGTCACATATTGAGTAGCTTTTTTTGACATTTTACTTTTTTTTTTTTTTTTTTTTTTTTTTTTTACTAATTATACCTTCTTTCTTCTTTTTTTTAATTCTCTCTTCTTGATTTCTGTTAGTTAAATGAAATCTTATTTTGTTGGTTTAAACTTAACGCATTCTTATGGTGCTTGCACTTATCCTAATACCAATATTTAGGTTAATTTATTCTATTATGTTCTTAAACATAAATATCTCTATAAACATACAAGTTCTTTAGCAAGACCTCCTTCTTCTCTTATCATATTAGTATTATCTAGAATTTTAGTTATGGGTTATGTTTTTTCTTTGTTTAATAGATTTTTTTTAACTTCCTGTATCTCTTGCAATATCCTTCTGGTTTTATCTGCTCATTTGAGTATATTTGCAAGAGTGTTTTCGAATTTCATCTAAATGAGGATTCCTCTGCTTGAAAATATGGTTCTAACATTTGAATGGGAGCTGGCTGCATATAACAGGTACAAAGTTTTTTCTTCAATATTTTGAAAATAGTACTCCATCCTCTTTTGTATTCAGTGTGGCTGTTGAGAAATCTGTCACTCAAATCATTTTTCCTTTATAGGTGGTCAGTGATTTCTTCAGAAGTATTGCATTTGATCTTATTTTTAATCAGATACATTTGCCATTAGGTGTTTAGGTATGGATCTTCCTCATCTGTACTTTTTAGTACTAAATGAGCACTTTTTAAAATTATACTTTAAGTTCTGGGGCACATGTGCAGCACTTGCAGGTTTGTTACATAGTTATACACGTATCATGGTGGTTTTCTGCATCCATCACTCCATAAATAAGCACTTTTAATCTCAGGTCTTTCTGTCACTACTGCTGGGAAATGTAATTGTTTTCTTTCATGCTTAGACTGTTGCTATTCCATCAGCACTTCTATCTCTATCCTTGAGGTACCTTTTCTTTTTTTCTTTTCTTGCCCTGTACTTCTTATTCTTTCTTTTTTCTTTCCTTTTTTTTTTT